CGCTGCTCGGAGGCTGGGCCAACACCTCCCCGGTTACCTGTTGGCTCTGCAGAGCTGCAGAGACGTCCCCCGGGACCCCCAGCCCTCCTTAGGAGCCGGGGGATCCCGGCATGCACTCCCCTCACCCTCCCTGGGCCGCTACGGAGCCCACAGCCCCGCACCGTCAGCGGAGTCGCCCCCCGTACGGCGCCCACCTTGCTAGGAGACCGGGGTGACGGGGGTGCTGACAAGGAGTGCAATGCGCAGGCGCGGCCCTTCCTCCACGAGAGCCGGGTGACGCAGGGGAGGGGGCTGCGGTTCACGCTGGGAAGAGAGTGGTGGGGTGGGGGGTGGGCTGGCTCCCCTTGGACATGCTGCTCTGTCTACACAGTCACCGCTCGCCGAGCCCAATTTATCCCTGTAACCTGCAGGCTTGCGGGAGGGCTTCCCCGAGCCTCCATGATGGTGGGCCAGCCCACAGGCTCCGAGTGCCCTAGTGCACCTCGCGCGGGCGGCCCCGCCCGATCAGCTCCTTTTTCGGAAGCCGAGCTTCCTGCCCAGAAATAAGTAACGAGCGCGACCCCCACCCCCTCAGCGCACGGTGGGTGACCCGCGCGGGGGCCAGGATCACAGGAACAATGCTCTGGCTCCTTACGCCCCCACGCCGCTGGAGGGGGATAAAAGCATCAGACTGTCCAACAAGTTTGTTTCTGCAGTCTCCACTGTTTAAAAATAATCATTAAAACGCTATTTTTTTAAAAAAGCTTGATTCCTATTATCTGGACAACAGGTATTTGTTTGCTTGCTTTAAAATGTTTCAATATAATCCTGGTTTGTTTCCAAAGATGTTGGATTAACATTTAACACCTCACCGGTCACTAAAGCCCAGGCAGTCCAGCAGCCCCAACACAGCCTCGGCTAAAAGAACATCAGAGCCAACAGAATTGGGCTTTTTAAACAGGCAAACAAAGGTCACACCGCCGAAAGGAGGGCGGGGGAGGAGGGGTAAGGCGAACTCCAGTCCAAAAGAGTTTAAAGGGAATAAAAAGGAAAAAAAGTCAGCGCAAGTTTTCCTAAAGCTCGCTTGGTCACGAACAAGGGCTTTTGTGCCTGCTAATTGCACCATTTGTGCGCAAAAGTTCCGACGCGAAGTGTGAACTCTCAACAGAAGGAAACATGAGACAACTGAAGTGCCCTGGTTTATGTGCCCTGCTCCTCCGCCGCCGCCTCCTCTTCTTTCTCCTTCCTCCCGCCGAGGCCGCTGTTGCAGCTTGTTTGCACTGGGGCTTATCCGGAGCGGAAATTCCTTTCCGTTTTTGTGAATGACAAACTCATTAACAATTCATCAACACAACCTGTTCCAGCCGGCCCGTCTCCACGGCAACAGCCCCTTCCGCAGCTCGCTCATTGGCTGGCGGGGAGAATGTATCCATTGAGACGCTCGCTGTTTGTATCCATTGAGGAGCTGCCTTGCGCTGGGGGTGTGCGAGGGCTGAGTCCGAGGGAGACAGAGCGAGTGCGAGGCTTGAATAATCTGAGGAGAAAGACGCTCGGGTGGATTTGAGGTGCAGCCTTGGAGGGAGGGATTAGGAGCCGCTGGACTTTTTTTTTCTCTCCCTCCCCTCTCAGTAGCCCGAAGTCCAAATTAATTGGATTTCATTCACTGGGGAGAAACAAAACTGTCTGGGCAGCTTCATTCAGAGCGATTCATTGACACCGAAAGCGAGCGGCTGCAGCCGGGTGCAGAGGAAAGGAACCACCGGCTTCACTTCTGTCTCGCCTTCCCCAGCCTCTAACCCTGTTTGGGAAGAGCGAGGTGGAATTCAACCCCGCTCCGTGAGCGGCGGCTTCGCGTGGCGCGCTCGGCCTATGCCTGCCCCGAGGGGCGACTGCTAGGCACCCCACCCTCTCTCGCAGCTCGACCCCCATGATAGATACGCTCAGACCCGTGCCCTTCGCGTCGGAAATGGCGATCAGCAAGACGGTGGCGTGGCTCAACGAGCAGCTGGAGCTGGGCAACGAGCGGCTGCTGCTGATGGACTGCCGGCCGCAGGAGCTGTATGAGTCGTCACACATCGAGTCAGCCATCAACGTGGCCATCCCGGGCATCATGCTGCGGCGCCTGCAGAAGGGCAACCTGCCCGTGCACGCGCTCTTCACGCGCGGCGAGGACCGGGACCGCTTCACCCGGCGCTGCGGCACCGACACCGTGGTGCTGTACGACGAGAGTAGCAGCGACTGGAACGAGAACACGGGGGGCGAGTCGGTGCTGGGACTGCTGCTAAAGAAGCTCAAGGACGAGGGCTGCCGGGCCTTCTACCTGGAAGGTGTGTGCGGGGGGAGCAGCGCGGGGGG